ACATCAATGTTTTTCTCACTCTCTCCTTCCCCTATTCTCTCTCTGAACATAAATAAATTTTTTTAAGAAAAAAAGACATTCTCTCTTCTATTTCTCAGCAAAAATCCCGTTATAGTCTATAGTTGGACCCTCTGGTGGGCCTCATGGTATAACATACTGAATTTTAACGAATCTTAAAATATCTATTTGGCACAGGAAAAAATGAGGAGAGTGGGAGCTTTGCTTGTGTGCCATGTTGAGTTTCTACCCCAGAAACTTCTGGTAGTTTCTGATAACAGTCCTGCAAGGGGTGACTGTTATTCCCCTGCTCTGTTCATGTTCTCTTGAGCACAGCAGTGACAAAACTATGAGAGCTTTTACCACAGGGGTGACATAACCTCAGCAAGCAAGTCAAAGGGTGGTAATTTTACACAACTGCCTTTCTTAGAGGTCCTGGCAACAACTTCCTTTTCCTCAGTGTGAGCTGATGGCATAGTCACTTCCTATTTGGTCTCAACTGCCAGGTTTTTTTTTTTCCTGTTTTTAACTGCCACCTTTGACTAAAACTGTTTTCTTGAGAAGCCTGCAAATTAAAGAACAAGTGGTCAATTCAAGACATTTTAAAAAGTTAATTCAGAGGGAAAAATATCACCCAAATTGTTTGTTTAGCATCATTTCATGGTAACACATGAAGGCCTCTCCTGTGCTGAAAATTGCACAGTGGGGTGCACAGAGAACTTACCTGACTTCATTACAAAGAGCCCAGTCACTCAAAGAATCTGTCCTAATAAACTCTCAGGTCTCTTCATGTCCCTCTATGGCAACACAAAACTATCATTATAGGATGACTGGTGGAGCAAACTGTGGCTTTGTCACCGCTAAACCAACTATGAATGCATGCAGGTTTCTGAGGGCTTTTGCCTTGGGCCCAAGGCATCTAAAGATCAACAGTGCAATTCTATGAGTTTAGGCAGGCAGAGAAACTGAAACCAGGAAGATTCTCTTAACATTCCATCTTTTGACTCCTACCTCTACATCTGAATGAAATTGTGTGGACCATGTTTACCTCTCTCATTTATCCAACCAATTGGTGGAGGCAATACATTATGAGCTCAATTCCTTTGGTCACTAAATGCAAACATGTTGAAGTGAGTAAGCAAATATGTAAAGAAATGTTATAAGCAGGAAACCACCTAAACAGCATCTGCTTACCCCTACCTCCTCTGTTGCTCTATTCCCCTCAATAGTATCAGGAAGTAAAGTGAACTAGAAAATTCAGCTGTGCTGAGTCTTAAATACTAGTTTTTGTTATAAATGATACTATAGTAGAGTTTATGCCAGCCCCAAAAGGTGCAAGGTTATTCAGAAGATAACTACATAGGCTTAATGTTTCTCGACAAGAATCAATTCAATAGCTTCCTTTGGGAAGCTTTGTTAGAACAATAGCAAGGATACAACATCTGCAAGAACTAGTATATAATTGTTTCCAATTTGATACACACAGAGAGTAAAGAGAAGACTTGAATATCACATATGCTTACATATAAAACAAAATATAAAAGGGACCCTTCAAAGTCATCTTTCCAAATATCACTATAGAGTAACTTGAATCAAAATATTCCTGTCACTGGATGATGAGCTTATAGAATTACCCTGATAATTTCCTTTAGTTTTAAATAGGTAATTGAAAGAAACTCAGATAACTATTAATTTTCTCTTAAACTTCATATATTGATATACTTTATACATTTCAATGTAGTTATTAGGCTCAAAATATGAAAGTCCAAAATGGGAAAACCCACATTTAAATTTTGTAAAGAAGTCAAAGTTAGCTCAATGAGGTATCACATTTGAACACTTCTAGGTAATGCCTGGTACATTAGAACATGCTCCAAGATTAAACATTTAAAAAAAACATTACATTTTTAAATTTTATTGAATTTATTGGGGTATCATTGATTAATTACATTATATAGGTTTCAGGGTTACCATTCTATTACATATCATCTGTATATTGTATTGTGTGTTCATCACCCCAAGTCAAGTCTCCTTCCATCACCATTTATTCCCCCCTTTACCTTCTCCTACCTTGCCCCACCCCACTTTCCCTCTGGTAATCACCATATTGTTGCTTAATCCCTTCACCTTTTTCACCCAGCTCCATTACATTTTCTTAAAGTTATTTTCTGTTCAATATTACTTTGTATTAAGTAGTATTCACTCTTTGGGGCAGATGATCTATGATTTAGTACAAAAGTACTATAAAAATACTGCTTTGTTTCTAGTACACCCTTGATGTGTACCAATATTTTGGGGGGGCGGTTAGAAGGGGGACAGCAACCACACTGAGCTGAAATCCTCAGGGAACAGTTATCCCCAAATCTATTTATTGGTTTGTAACCACTAAAGCAGAGTGTGGAGCATGATTTTTCAAACTTTGGCACCATTGACATTTTGGGCTGGGTAATCCTTTGTTGTGAGGGTTGTCCTGTGCATTGGAGGACGGTTAGCCACATCCCTGGCCACTACCCATTACCAGTAGCATCCTGTCCTGGCTCTGAAGACACAGCTAGGATGACTGGTGGAGCAAACTGTGGCTTTGTCACCGCTAAACCAACTATGAATGCATGCAGGTTTCTGAGGGCTTTTGCCTTGGGCCCAAGGCATCTAAAGATCAAAAGTGCAATTCTATGAGTTTAGGCAGGCAGAGAAACTGAAACCAGGAAGATTTTCTTAACATTCCATCTTTTGACTCCTACCTCTACATCTGACTGAAATCGTGTGGACCATGTTTACCTCTCTAGAATCTTGCCCACTGAGAGCTGGTATCCTACTTGAATAATTGTTATGTAGGAGAAGTTGGATCTTTGGCCTCAAGGACCTAATAATCTTGTTGGGCAGATTTAGCAAATGAAATGCATGAAATAAGAACAAAACTAAAATGTGAGTGCATCTTCTGCTGAAATGCAAGACAAGTTTGAAGGAGGGCTTGGAGCAATGAGGGAGGCTCAATGGAGGTAGCGTTAGAGATGTGCCTTACATGATGGAACTTGATTCAGACCCTTGGTCCTCAAAGTGTGTTCTAAGGATCAGCAGTGTTGGCACCACCTGTGAAATTGCTACCAATAAAGAATTTTGGGCCCACTCCAGAGTTACTAAATCAAAATCTGCACTTTAAAGAGAATCCCAGGGAATTTTTATGAACATTAAAATTTAGGTAGTACTGTAGGTTTTTTGTCAGGCTGGCATTGTGGAATGTGGCCAGGGCTAGTGGGAATAGAGACTGGATTGTGGCCTATCATCAAGTTAGAAGTAGTAAGGGCCTAGACCTGGGGAACTAAAAGCTAGGAAAATGAAATTATACCCTTTATCATCTGAATGGATAAGAAAATGTGGTGAATATACATGAAATGGAATATTACTAAGCCATAAGAAGGATGGAAATCCTGCCATTTACAACAATATGGATGGACTTTTAAGGCATTATACTAAGTGAAATAAGTCAGACAAAGAAATACAAATACAGTATAATCTCACTTACATGTGGACTCTAAAACATAGCAAACTTACAGAAATAGAGAGTAGACTGGTGGTTGCCAGGGGCAAAGGATGAGAGAAATTGGTGAAGGTGGTCAAAGGGTACAAACTTCCAGTTATAAGACGAATAAGTTCTGGGGATCTAATGTACATCATGGTAACTATAGTTAATAATATTGTTTTGTATACTTGAAAGTTGCTAACAGAATAGAAGTTAGAGGTACCTGGATTTTAATTCCTAGCTTTACCAGTCATTAATTGTGTGAGACTTTGCATCAAATTATTTAACCTCACTGAGCCTTTTTTCATCTGTAAAATGGAAGGGGGTGCAATATGACCTCAGAGAGCCCTTGTAAAGATTCAATAAGGTAACACATATATAGCACTTAACAGTCTCTAGTACAAAGACAATGGCATCCATAAATAGTAACGATATAGATAACAAGAATAGCCTACCTTTTGAGAAAGATTCAAAAGGAACAGAAGAAACATTGTCTACCACATTCCAACATTGTGCTGTGTACAGACCTATAATAACTTGCAATGTAGGGAGCGTCATCCTCATTTTAAACCAGAACTTGGATACTACATTTTTAAAATGCCAGTAACACCTTGTGGGTTGCCAGAGGTCCCTTCGTAATGAGATTCCTGTAATTGCCATTATCATTGTTACTGTTATTATCAGAGTACTCTCAAAAGAGGTTTACTCCTTGGAGTGGAACTTAACATGGGGTGGAGGCAGGGTGTTGCTGAAACGACTGCTGTGTACGCTGAGTTCCACAATATGTACTGCTACTGATTCAATATCATTTCCCATCCTATTATCATTAAATCTGTTTTCCAACTTCCCTCTCTCTTACATGTACAGAATTTCTGATGAAGAGAAGCCCCAAACTGGCCTCCCCACCCCCACCAAATGATAGCACGAGAGGTAGGGGTAGCCTCAGATTTAAGTTACCTGAAGCATGTCTGGGTGCGGGAAATCCGGAAAGCAGAAAAGTGGTTATATAGGCGTGGCAGCCCCGGCTGGGGAGACCCAACTGAGGGAACCCACCTACTCGGTGGCTCTCTGTGCCCCCACCCTTGACCAGATCAGGGTGACAAGAAGGATTTCCAACAAACCCCAAGTTTCAACCCAAGGGGTCTCCGAGGCTGCGTGTGCCCCAGTCTTGCACGCCTGCCAGCAACGTGGCCACGTCTGGGACGCCCTCGTACTCTCAGAGTAACCCGAACTCTTCCATTCTCTCTTCAGGCCGAGCCGTTTTCAAGGTCTCCCAGCCTCTGGGTTATCCTCTCAGCGTGCCGGGAGAGCCTCCACCTTCTGAGGCTCCGGCAACCCCAGGCAAACCCCTTCACTCGGAGCCTTAGCTCTCCAGACAACGCCCGGCCGCCGGGCGGGGGCAGGGCCAACAGAGGAACCGCCCCCAGCCGCCTCCCGGGCCAGCCAAGCGGGCGGGTTGCTTGGGCGCCTCCACCTCTTCCTAAAGCGGCGAGGCGCAGACGAGCGGCATCACTCGAGCCCAGGTCCCAGCCACCGGCACACACAGCGCCCCACGTTAAGGAGTAGCAGCCGCAGCGGAGGCGGCGGCTACAGCGGCCGGCGGGCGCCATAAAGGTAGACTGAGTCCCAGGGAGTCCCGCCGCGAAATGCTCACCTCCCAGCCCGTGGCTACCACCTCTAGTCTAGTAACCCCATTTCTGTGTGTCCTTCCAGGCCCGGGTTGAAAAGCCTGGGAGGGCCGCGGAGCTACCCTCGGAGGAGGAGCCAGCCCCAGCCCGAGGCGCCACCACCGCAGAAGCAGTGCGGAGCAGCAGTCGCATTCATGGCCCACTCACCAGTGGCTGTCCAAGTGCCCGGGATGCAGGTGAGGAAGCCCAGGCCGCCCCGTCCCCCACGTGACCGCCCCGGAGTCCGTAGCGCGCTCCGCTCTGGGCACCCGCATCGAGAGGCGGCCCCGGGCTCCCCTAAAGGCAGGGCCCGGCGCTCTGTCCAGGTGACATGGGAATTGGACCTTTAAGTGTTTCCTGGTGTTCAGGCTAGGTGGTGCAGTGCACCGGGAAGGCGGAGAAGGACTGGGGCGCGCATCGATGTGGGGATGGGGGGAGGGGGCGGTTATTAAAAAATAGGCCAGAGCGACACACCTGCGCCTGCTGAGCGTGGTACCCTTGGGGGCTGGAGGCGGGAGGATTTAACTTGGGAGAGGTGGAGGTGTCTCCGAATTTGTGGGGTAAAACGCAAGTTGCGCTCCCCCCGCCCCTCCATGCATACACAAGTTGGGGCTGAGCAAGACAAGGGGTGTTGGTGGCGGCGGCGTTGAATTGGGCTCTTCCTGTGTGTGTAGAGTGGAGAGCGAGGTGACTTCGTTTCCCTTTTCGGTGCCGCTTCTTAAGGGCGAAGTTATATCTCACTGCCCCATCTGGCCCAGTCCACAGTTCGGCGTGACAAATGTGGAGTCCCATATCAGGGTCACCTAGGAGATGGCTCTGCAGCCCCCTCCCCTGCGATGACTGTTGCTTGTGGTTAAAGGTAGCAACTTCTTACTGGAGATCTACCGAGCCCCCCCGCTCCCCATTTTATTAAAAAAGAAATGAGCTATGTCCATACTTTTTATGCTGTTACGGTTTTAAGTCTGCGCATTTCAAGCTATTTACTAAATGTTATCCAAGTCTACTAACTTTTTAACATTCACATTTTACCTTTTTTCCTTTGTTACATAGCCAAAACAACCTATTTATGAGTAACTCAGAAACTAGAAACACTAGAGCCTCAGTCCCTTACTATCTTCTAAAAATGTGAGAGAAAACTTTTTTCAAGTTCAAAAAGTATTTAGATTAGTAGATAATTTATATTTCTAATAACAAAGAACTGTGGATTGGGGCCTCGACTTACCACTAATTGATGCATGGAATTTATTTCTTAAGCAATCAGTCACACTTTATACATGGTGACAAAAAAGTGGTTTTTAAGATACTTTCCCCAAAAGGACTATTTGTGTTAGACATATATCTTACCTAAGGACTCCAGTGTGTCCTAAGCACCAGGCCTTTTAGCTGGATATAGGGCAAGTCTGTTGAGTCCCAGGAAGTCGGTGTGTATTTAATAAAAAAGAGAGGAAGAAAAAGGGAAGTGAGAAATATCAGGGCTTCTAAAAAGGTTTATCCCTTCAAGCTTTACAAAATGCCCCAAACTTTTTTCTTTTCAGGCCACCCCCCCTCCCTCTTTCCATCAACTACCCTGCCCCATACCCCATTCATTCAGTTCTGCCTTTGATTGTGTTAAGGAAATTAGTAGTTTGCAATAATAACTACAGTTTTGCTGTGTCTGATGTGGAAGAAAGTGTGAAAAATTTGTCACTGTACCCTCCTTACCATTATGTGGAGAGTAGATCCTTACAGTCGTAAAGATTGTTTCTGAGGGTTTCCAAGCTTTACTCTCCATTGTGTGTGTGAAAGCCTGCTTGCATTCGACAGCAGAGTGCCTCCCCTTCATCAGGTTTGTGATTGTGGAAAACTATGTGCTGGAAAACTCTGTGTACTAAGGAGAAAATAGTTTCTGGTCTTTATTTCATTTGTCTTGACTTTATTTGATTTATATGGTTTCTGATCCATATTTGATTTGTCTTCATTTGATTTATATGGTTTAGGAACTGCTTGCTGTTCAATATTTCTTACTGCTTCCAGCTTCATTGAATTATCTGAATTCCCTATCTCTTGAATTTCTAACTGTTAATTAAGGTGGTTTAGAATGTGAATCACGTATTTTTAATGACAAATTCTGCCTTTCACCTTATAAGCATTCCCAAAGTTGTGATTACTTTGTTCAGCCTAATTTGGAGAGGGCAATCATCTCAATATTAGCAAAGAAAAGAGGCATATTTATTTGTCACTTTCTCCGTCTTAATGAAAATGGTAAACTCTTAACTTCCTATTTCCATTCTCTTGTAGATATGTTTGTTAGCATTTGGTGCAATACGAACGTTTTCCACAGTTAAAATTGTACAGTGCCCTAAAAATAAATTCGAAGGCCTGTAGTGTAACTCTTGAACCTAGATTTCTTTTACTATTCTTTTGTTCCAAAATATTGCAGATGAGATGCAGAAATATATCAGGAGTTCCTGAAATTCCCCTAGAGTTTTGTTAAAGACTTAGGAGTAACTTTTAAATCTTTAGACTAGTAAGAAAACTTGAATTAGCCATGTGTTCTTGAAATTAATGTATAGTAAGTATTTCCACAAATCAGGGCGAAATGGTTGCCTGGCCTATAAGTTTTTAACAGTTTATTTTAGAGAATTATGATGATTGATGGAAAAAATGATTTTTCCAGAAATAAAAACAAAATTACTTTATCCACAGTGTTTTTCTCCTCCCGCCACCCCCTCGCCCCAGGAGAGACATGAAGTAGAAGCTGAGCTACCTGTTCTATCACTTAAGACTTCCAGCATTCCTGACTTTCAAACAAAGAAATTTCTGTTGCCACTAGTTTAAAATAGAAAAGTAACTTGGAGTGATGAAAGAAAACCCAGGATTTGGTCCAGTTCAAACTCTTCCTTATGAATTAGTTATTCAAACTCGTTGCTGATATTTCTTAATATTGTGGTAATGAATATTTTTGCCAAATTACACCAAATGTTGGGATATGATTTTTTTTTTTACTTAATTTGTGCTTACTTTTTTAGTGTATGACTAAAGGAATTTTCCACCCTAGGAGCTAAACTCTTGAAAAATATTTAAAGGATGACTTTTTTTTTAAGCACAACTTTTAAAAAATGAATCAATAAACCTGTTTCTTTTCATTGAAATACTTGCTCTATTGATTTAAAACATTTTTTTTCCTTTGAAGTCTTTAGTTATAAATCATTGTTACGTTTAAAATATTTCCCCCTTAGAACCTGCATTAGTACTTGTGAAGTATTCTAAACTGGTTGTTAAATCTTTCATAAAATGTAGGTAGGAGAATAAAGTTGAATGTTGAATTGGAATACTGTTTTTATGTTATGCCTCTTGTGAGAGAAATTTTTTAAGTTCCTTCTAAAGAATTTAAAAATTAGCATTCATGTATCTTTTTATATGACCAAGTTGGTACAATTTTTTAAATTGTTGATGTTTGAGGTGTGAGATGGAAATTAAGTTTAAGGATTAATGAACACTTACTGAAGACTTCTATCTAAGTGGTAGAAAACATTGCCTTGCACTGGTGACATTAGTTACTGACTTCTGGGAAGGATACAGAAGTATATTACATGATCTCCTCCCCTAAAAATCTTAAAATATTGTAGTATTAAATCTACCACATGAAATATCAAATAATGCAAAATCTGTGATATTTACTCTATAATAGAAGTTTCTGACTGGAAGAGTTGAAGGTTTACAGAAGGTAAACTTACTCCAAAGGATTGTTAGGATTAATGCTGGGGAAAGTATTTCCAAGCAGGGAAGTGACCTGAACAAAGGCATGTAGACAGGGAAGAGCACACTGCCAAGTGTGTGTATACACACAGTCTTTGAGAGTGGGATAAAATCACTTGGACTATGATAAATAATTCATCTAGAGAAATAATAGGTAAGATAGGGAAACTTTATTAGATTCAGATTATGGTGGTTCTTGAATGGTAGGGTAGGATTTTGGCCTTTGGACAAGCCATTGTACATTTCTGAGTAAGAGACTCAATGAACAAAGTTATACATAGGAAGAGAAGTCTCCAGACTGGATCTGGAGGATTGAGAGATTTGAGGAAGTTTGATCTACTGAAGCTATTTGAGTGAGACAATCATCTGTCCAGATGCAAGGGACCTTGCATTAACTGCCTAATGCCTAATACTGTGAAGAAGAAATCTATAATTATCCAGACTTAATAATTAGTTAGTTATAGAAGGACTAATCTAAGCCTTTGTGGTGTTGAATATGGGGAACTGGGAAAACTATGGTACATCTTAAATAATTGGAAAGTCAGGGAGGAGAGCCAGATCTGGTAGGAAGTTAATGATTTCTGTTTAAGGGGGAATAACTTAAACTTAAGTATCATTTATAACTGAAAACTTCAAAGAGAGAACATGTTTTAAATCATTAAAGAGTAAATAGTTGAGTATAAATAAATAGGTTTATTGCTTTATTTTTAAAATTTCTGTGAGGTTTGAGGTAATAATGGGATGACAAGGTAAAAATGTAGAACAATATGTCTATTACCTTGATTGCGGTGATGGTTTCACAGGGGTATGCATACGTCCAAACTCATCAAATTGTATACATTAAATATGTAAATTTTTTGTAGGTCAATATGCTTAAATTAAGCTGTTTTTGTAAAAGGTCCAGCAAATACTTGAAAATGTAGATCTGGTGTTTAGTCATTTATCAGACATTTACTGAGCATTTACTATATGCCAGTCTGTTTTCTTGAAACTGAAGAATGTGAGCCACTAAGGAGGGAGAGGGTCAAAATGCCAGAGAGAATATGTGGAAGTGAGGGCCTTCATGAGATAGAAAACATAGGTGAAGGATTAGATTGTAAGGAAAGGACCAATACTTTTAAGGTGCATGAGAAGAAGGAAAAATGCATTACAATCCAGAGGGAGTTAACTGGAGGGAATTCTTTAAGTTTTTAATTCTTATCATGAAACCTAAATTGGAGGAAAGAAATTCAGTTTGGTGCCAAAATCTAGTATGTGTTCTTACCTCCCTTGCATCTTCTGAAGGGCATAATCAGCTTTGCAATTTGAGCTGAAAGTGGAAAGCATTGCCTTGCATTGATAAACCCAAACCAGATGAGATCAGGCACATTCAAAGTGGTGCCTTAGCCCCACACCAGGCCCCCCAGCCCAGTATTCCAGTACCAGGAATATAAGTATCCATAACTTTTGGCTGTGAAAA